GCATCTGATCGGCCGGGAAATCTCGAGATCGGTGCTCGAGCCGGGAAGTTTCCGTTATTTTTAAGGGACTTCGATTGAGGCTGAGGTGCGGGATAGAGAAAAGCTCTAATCTTTAACGGAAGAAGATGATCGCGAGAAGCCAGATCGTATTCTTCGTAGAGATTGGCCAGGTCCTCGTCGGAGGTGATCGAAACTAGGGCGTCCAGATCTTCAGTTGGCAGCTGGCATCTCAAGCTCACGGAGCCCCAACCGCACAATTCCCCCATTTTCGCCCGTAGCTCTGCGTCCCAAATTTGATGCTTTAATTAATATATGAAGCATAACAATAATCGAATCATGAACTTGCTATTATTCACTAGTAACAAAATAATAATAATAATAATAATAGCGACGGTCGAACCTGAGAAAGGGAGGGATCGATCAACGGAGAGGACCCTGGTCTGGCCGCCGACGTAACGGAGCTTGGCGTCTGGGTAGCGGGGAAGAATTTTACCAGCGTAGCTGCAGATAAACTTGACGGCGCCGTTTGGTTTCACGGAGACGTCGTCGACAGAGCTAAACGAAGCACAGGACGATGAGCAGCTGGGAGACGAGGTTCCCTCCATAATTTTATTTTATTTTATATTAACTGTGGAGTTCACTTTGTAAAATTAACGAAAAGTGAAAAAAAAAAAAGAAAAAGTAAAAAGCGTAAAAGAGAAGGGAGGAGCTTGTATTGCTAAAAGAGGAAAAGAGAAGAGATCAGGAAGCTGCTGCTGCTCTGGCTTCGGCTTCAACCTTAGAATGGCACCCCGCACCCTTTATTTATAGCCATTTTAATTTTTATTTGGGAAAGTAACGGGAGGGCGAAGGGAAAGTGAAAAGGTTAAATTTTCGTGGGAGGGTGGGGCCCTGTTTTTTTTTTTTTTTGCAAAATTAAATAAGGGAAAAGAAAAAGAAAAAGAAAAGGAAAAGATGCTGCTGGGTGCTGCGGCGATGGATCTCAATTTGACGAGGACCGGATCAGGATGTTCTACCCGCTCCGAATCCTAAAGATCAACAAAAGATAATGCTTTCCTTCCGCCTCACTCTTTTATCTCAACTAGATTGTATACATGTGCAATGCACATGATTAAATATCATGATTAAGTATTTTTGACTGATTGTTTAACTAAAATTTGTTCATCAGTTCCACTTTAATAGTTTGTGCTCACTTTTGTCTCTAAACATTTATATCGTGATTTTCTTTATGTTTGTTTAAATGTGCTACACCCAATTTAAATATTCACTTTGATATTTGAATTGATAGTTTGATATTTGAATTGACAGAAAACAAATATAATTTGAAGCTAATTTGAATTTTTATATTATTTTGACCGATATGAATCCAAGCTTTACTTGAGAAAATATAGTGTTGCAAAAGTGAAAATATTAAAATAGTGTTAGGTGAATATTTAATACCAATAAGGCAAAATAATTGATTAAAAGTATGCTTAAATGGTATAAAAGAAATATGAAGTTTGTTCCTAATCATTGATAGACTTCATAAAAAATTATAAATTAAAGATTAATGCTAACTCTAGTATACTTTTATATGGTAAAAGCATCCGCATAAGCATATAAAAATACTAAAAAAGTTCACGAAACTCCCTTATAAAGATTCCTAATCTCACTCAAAATAATTAAACTATTCTATAATATATTTAAGAAAAAAATTGTCTTTTATTCTATCTGTTTTATTTTTTATTGAGCTAAGATCAATCATTCTTCACCTTTTTCTTTTTCTTAGGCAATTCTAGAATAGTGGCTTCATCATCTATATCGATTGTGACATCAAGCTAGAATTGTATTTTTTTTTTATGTTGTTACCTTTCTTGGGCTCGTTAATCTTTTATTTACTTATTTAACTTTTCAAATAAGTCAAATGTATTTCCGATGTTCAACACAAACAACTTAAATTTTCCTAAATGTAATTCCTACTTTCTTCCTTAATTAGCATTATCTATCCTATCCACGTATCTTATATGTGAAGCTTCGATTCCCTGAACAAGATTTGTTACACTGTCTCCGCCTCTCTCTTGTCTTTATTTTCCTGCGTCTCGATGGCAAGAGCCACAAAATGTGAGCATACTTGTATCAACAGGGTTCAAATATTCCCCGACTTCTCTGCATCCACATTATTATTTATTAGGAGGAACTAGAGAAAACTCAACAGAGAATATTATTGCAAGCAATTAATCAAAAAATAATGTAAATTCTTGACGTGTATTTTAATTTCTTTTAATAAACCGTAGAAAAAATTTCAAAAAAGTTCAAAGTGGGCTCCATTAGCCTTGTGTACACGCAAAAGCCTCTCTATTTCCAGGTTAACACAAGATTGGTCTAGCTTTTTTAGTTCTATAATGTGTTAAAAGAGAGGGAGAAGGAAAAAGAAAAAGAAAAAAGAAAAAAGAAAGTTAGCTTGCGGAGTCCACTAAGGGAGTGAAAGTGGGGAACTTGACTGGCGATTTTTTCCCCCAACTTGAGGTAATACAAGTCGGCAAGATTCCACGCGTAGACATCAGTGACGTCGAGAGATGCGTTATGTTCAAATCATATCTCAATCCTGTTCAAATCTAATTTTCAATCGAAGATGACAGCCAGATTTTAAGGAAAATGACATGAGAATTTGATTTACGAGATTTGGCAAGCACTAGTCAGAAATAACAACTGCGTCTTCTGGGAGAAGTTTTAGAATTAATGGATGTGCAACCCTTCGTGTTTGCCCACTAAAGTGAGCTCACCTATGGCACAATGCTTCTATGAACATGGGTATTTATAGTAGACCATTTTTAAATCTTTTTATGA